GCTTCTCCCCATAGCTATATACGTTCAACTAAATATGTCAAATGATATTCAAATTTCTTCTTCAAAATTATTATTCCTTTGCCATGAAACCGATTACACATTAATTACAGGTTAATCTTAATTACTGATTGATCGTGCCACTCTTCTTGATTGAATATTGCATGTCATGTGATAGAGGAATGACGATAAAATAGGAAGTAGAAAATTATTGTGCTATCCATATACACATTGCATGTTTGCATGCACCAGCATATATGGCAACGAGCAAAAGGAAAGAGAATTAACACAGAAGGAAAGAGAATTAAGACAAAAGGAACCTCTTTGTATTTATGAGAACCTTGCTAAATCTGTCTATATTTAATTACTTCCCCTCTTTGTATTTGCAAAAGGGACAACTTTTTTCTCCTTTTATTTGGTTTCACGCTCACGTGTTCCATCGTCCTCGCTTGCTGTTTCTTGCTGAAATTGCCTTTGGGTCTGTTCATTTGTCTTCCATGGCTTAGCCTCCCAATCCCAAGAGAAGGTTCCTACCTCTCCCTGACTGGAGATCCGGCCTGCCAGAGGATCTCCTCGAGTCCATCGGGCAGCATCTCGCGTCAGGCCACGACGTGGCGTCCTTCCGATCCGCTTGCTCCCCATGACGCGCCGCCGTCCCGTTCGCGACCTTCGGGCCGCTCCTGCCGCTCCCGTTCGACCCCGACTCGGACCGCGTCGGCTTCTACTGCGTCTCGGAGAAGAAGGTCTTGTCCAAGACGCTGCCCGACGTGCGTGGCAAGGTGGCGTGTGGCTCCTCGTGTGGGTGGCTGGCGCTCATGGACGAGGCGGCGTCCATGATGCTGTTGAATCCATTCGCCGGTGCCCGTGCCCCCCGCGTTGAGCTCCCGCCAGCAGGCGAACACATCGCGGCGGCGTTCTCATTGGAACGCGTGTCTAGGGTCCACGGTTGGTGGGTCCTCCATCCCACCAATGACTACGGGAACGCAGATACCGCAGGCAGAGCCATCAAGCTAGAAGACATGAGGGACGTGTTCTTCCGTGAGATCGTGCTCTCGGCGTCGCTTGACGCTGCCGGCCGTGAGTGCGTGGCTATGGCCATGCTTGGGTGCTCCACGGAGGTCGCGTTCTGTCGGGTTGGAGTCGACAGCACATGGACGCTGCTCGACACCAAACTAGAGTCCTCCGTGGGGTCTAGCGTCCACTACCAAGACAAGTTCTTGGCGATCGACTGCACTGGAGAAATCTTCGTCTGCAGCAGCAACGCCGCCGGCGCTACTCCAACCGCGACGCTGCTGCCATCGCTGTTGCCACCTGCGGGGCTCTACCACCGCAGCTACCTGAAATCAAACGGTGAGCTGCACATTGTGGGTGCCATGGTGAGCACGTTCCATGAGACAGAGCTTCACCTACAGCAGCGCGATCTACAAGTGCAACATCCACGATCGTACGCCGGAGTGGTATAGGGTGAGGGACATCGGTGATCAGACACTGTTCGTGTCTAAACATTTCAATGAAAGTTTTAGTGGAACAAGTGTATCCAAGTACAAGGAGAACAAAATCTACATGTCTGAGCCATTGTATGGGAATCCATACGACTTGGTCCATCGATTGAAGATCGTTGATATTGCTATCGACGCATCCGAAGTGAAGCCCGTCCAGGAAAAGATGCAGGGTTCCGATGCTCTAGGTTGGATTCGACCCAATTTCTAGAAGGATCATTGCAAGACATCAATCATCTCATAGCTTCAGACAATATCGCAAAGCTACTAAAATCTGTAACCGTGCCCTCACCTCAAACATTGTCCAGATAAATGGATTACAATGAAAGAAATGGATATCGAAGATTTCTTCTTACCAATATAAAACATTATCTTAGCCGCATCATGGAAAGGTCTATAAAGTAGAGTTTGTGAGCCTGCGACGCCACGCACTCTATGACTGTGTTAAATTCATAAACTTTGCTTTTTGGATTAAATGTCACTTTAACGTTGGTATTTAATTTTTACAGTATTGTTATCTTATCGTGCAATCCGTGTGTTCTTAGTATAAATTATTAGTTATCCCTTAGCAACATACGGACACACTACCTGGTAGCATAATAAAGCAAACCTAAGGAAAAGCATGTTTGGTACGTAGGACTTCATTAGGTCGTCCCTGCTGTGGGAACGGAGGAGATAGATCCAGAGAAAAAGCTCGTGAAGTTAAAATAGTGGATCTATCTATCGACTCTTGATTTATTTTGATTTGAGAGAAAAAGATAAAAATAAAACTCTTTACTTCAACATAGCTACAATGTACGGAGAAGCCAAAGCTCCGCTAAATAGGACCTAAGTATTATTATTATATACATATTGCTGTTTATTTGGTACGGTTGATTTTCTTTGTCATGGTACTTCTAGTTCTGGTTTTCTTTCTAAAGAAATTCTCTCCGCACTATTAGCTCTTGCTCTAGGTTTTTACAAAAAGTGAAGCAAAACTAGCCAGGAAGCTAGGCGGGGACAACAATGTTAGGTGTGGGGATAAAAATGGACAGAAAACCCCTCTCCTATTTCCGTCTTCATATTTTTTTGATCGACGGAAATGGGGTCGGATTTGGAATAGCAAGGATCTGAAACGGAATAGGTATGTGGACCATTAGAAAACAGAGAAATACGGACAGAGACCCGGAAAATTAAATTAGAATCACATAATCTAATATTCTCAAGTATGCATGTATAAAGTCACAAAAATATAGATATATATATATATTCACTTCATGTCATGTGTGTTAACATGCTAACATGTATATATTTGGTGATTAGTAGGTGTGTATTAACCTAAGACGATGACATTAATTGTCACGCATAAAATAAAAAACAGGACAAAAACGGGTCCGATCCGCATTAAATCGGGATCCCACGTAAACAGCCGGAGAACACCATGTTTCATTTCCAGAAATAAAAAACGGGATGACACACACGTAGAAACAGGTGGAAACAGAACTAGACCGGTGTACGTTGTGATTCCCTTCGTCCCCCGCACACACCAAACAGTTGGCAGCTCATGTCTGCGTGTGACGTGTGCCACTGCCCACTCTGCACCGTACCGGATTACTATTCCCGGGCGACAGACACACAAAACTGACGGGCACGTGGACCGTACCAAGCGCCGGCCGGCCGGCCGGCGTAAAGTGCCGTCGGGTCCGGTGGGGATTGATGAATGCCGCGTGCCGCCGCCGCCGAGCCTCGGCCGCGGCAGCCGGCTGCTGCTGTCCGGCAAAGTGCTGTTTTCCACTGGTCATCGATCCGGCTCCTTCCAACGATTTTGTTTTCTTGTTACTAAAAATCAAACTCTAAATTTGTACGCAGGCTCCACGTTGTAACTATCTACTGCTCACATCGGTGAAACCAAATGCTCCCTCTGTATGTATATTCTACGTGTATATATATATATGTATGTGTGTGTGGTAGGACTATTCTACGGCTAGCCAAAGAATAACTTATTCTATGACCACCTTGATTTACGATAATGTTTGTATTAATTTACGATAATGACAATACACATTTACAATACATGAGTTACTATAATTTAAGATGATACTTACCATAATGCTATAGTAAATCACTTATGAGGAAGTTACCATAATCTCATAAATTAGTATAGTAATTATCGTAACTCAAAGTGGCCACAGAATAACTTATTCTACAGCCAGCTACAGAACAACACGTGTATATATATATATATATATTGTTTATATATATATATATATATATATATATTGTTTGAGTGGACAACCGGACATTATTTGGTACTAGTACATCAAAGAGCCAGCTGATTGATTATTAAAGAACGAGACATTGATTACTACTAGATCTCAATACAGCCCGGACGTCACCGGCTCAGTCGGCTTGTGTTGTTACGTTTGCGCCAAGAAGGGAGAGGAACACCACGGAACTGAAACAAACCTAACCAGGCGTCCTGCTACTAGCACACAGCAAATCGCCAACTCCTGTAGTCCTGTGTTGTCAAAAAAAAAAAAACTCCTGTAGCCGAGTATACTCCAATTCGCCACCATTCCCGTCGGTGGCCGGTCGGCACGGTGAACTGAACACACGAGAGCACGGCTGTCCTTTTTTTCTTCTTCTTCTATGCAGCGGCTGCGACGCTGGTGATCTATGTTCGGCTGCTATTATAAACTGATTTATAGTATTTTTTTTCCAAACAAATCAACCGTCTAAATTAGAACCAGCGGCTTATAAACATAACGGCTGCACGGGGGCACGCGGGCCCCACGCGAGCAGCCGATCAGCATCAACAACAGACTAGTCCTCCCTCCCTCCCCCGCCGTCTTATTCTACTGCTAGCCAGCCAGTCTCCGTCTCCCGCCCCGGCTTCCTCCTGCATCCCCGACGTCCCCGCCTGCGGTGAGCGACTCCCGCCCTCGCCCAACTCACTGCGGATCTTTCGGTCGGCCGGCCGGCCGAAATACCCCCGTTCTTGAGCGCCGCTCTCTTCTCCCCTGCTCTGTTCTGCGTCTGAGCTGAGCCCTGCCTCTACTTCCCTTCCGCGCGGATTGCTTTTTTTTTTTTTTGAAGGTCGAGCGGATTGCTCCTCTCTTTTTCTTCCGCCGCGGCCTGCGCCCGTCCGGTCAGACGTGGCTAGATTCTTCCGGGCTAAGATTCTCCAGGCTCCACGGCCGCCTTTCCTCCCCGGAGGCGGAGGATCATACGCGTATGCGTACACGCACGAGCATCAGCATAAAGCTCGCGTTTTCTTTCGTATCCGGGACCCCGAAATCCCGAACCTTTTTTTTTCGGCGGGGAACAAAACAAAGGGGAGGGCGGGGCATTAGTTTCTGCGCCTCACATGCTCGATCGATCAATCTGGCGATTTCAATTTCTTTGTTCTTCCGTGAAGTTCCTCGTCTTCATACAGTCGTGGCCTCGTGGGCGTGCTAGGTGGGTGGGCGGAGGAGGAGGAGGAGGAGGTGGAGGTTCCTGGTAGCGCACGCCCGCCCGCCAGCCATGGAGAAGAGGAAGCGGGTCCTGGAGCTGCGGGACCGGCTGGACCGGACGCTGGCGATGCCCGACCTCGCGGAGGAGGCCTCGCTCAGGGCGCTGGTCAAGAAGCAGATCCTGGCGTCGTCCCTGTCCGGCTCCGATCAAGGTGCTTGCTTTGCTCTGCTTACTTCCTCCCTGCTCTGCTCACGTGGTTAATCTATTTCTGAGTGAACATGAGCTTATTAATGGCAGTGATGATTGTACCCCCTTTTTTTTTTCTTATCAATCAATGATCCATTCGAGCTTTTTATGGTTTGGTCCGTAAATATCCATCCTAGTACTACTACTACTAGAGAAGGTGTTAAAAAGGGGTTGCTACCTGAAGGCTTTGATTGTGGTAGCATATTTGCTGGCCCTATATGTACATGGATGAATGCCTGCTCGCTGTTTCTTGACTAGTGCTTTTTGTGTGTCCTCTTTTAGGCGACATCGATCTCATTGCTGAAACGCGGGCCAGAGAAGTCTCCGAGTTTCTTGAAATGCTGAATACTTCGAGGGATGGGCGATCTTCAAAGGTTCGTGGGGTGCCACAGAAGGAGTGGAAGGTATGCCCCACCGTTTCCCATAATGCAGCATTTCACTTCTGTTTGTGATTTCTATATCTTAGATGGTATGTTGCTTCAAAATTGTCTAGCCTGTTCCTCTCCAATTTTGGGGATTGATTAGTTCCTCTTTTAGGTTTCTAAGTAAATGCTTATGAGTGACTGCAGTGATCTTTAACTACTTTTTGTTGGCAGGTGAAGCAAGATACAGACCAATTAAGAGTTATGTACCGTGAGGGTCCAGATGGGACCCCGTTTCACACCCTGCTTGCTGAAGGCTTTGCTGATGGACCTATTGACGTTTGTAAGTAATTTTAACGGGTCAGCCAGTCAGATACTACAGGTTCACATACTCGCAATAAAGCACACTTTTTTTTTCATAGGTACATGTGTGTCGTGGGAATCAGCTCTATACAAAAAATGGTGAGCACAATGTTTTCCTCAAGTTTTGTTAAAAATTTCACATTCTCAGAAAACTACACATGGTATTCTCTAATTATGTTCAACTTTATGTTGCAGAATTAACGTTTGTACATTAAAACATATAGTTTTTTTTTGTTAATTATGGCATTTAGGAAACAAACCATCTAAATGTTGCAGTTCCAGACATAGATTTATCATTTTTAGTAGACTCTCTAAGCACAAAGTGAACTCACAGGCTTAACCTTTTCCCCTCACTGTAGCCACATGGTCCACACCACCATACGTCCATACCCACTTCTAGTTAGGACCTGAAGGTGTACTGGTACAGCATCTATTTATTCGATAAAGAGAGCCTAAAGTTCTCTGTTGCCAATAATTATGGACTGAGGTTGATCCCCCACTGACTAAATTTGGGAAAAAATTGAGGGGTCATGCTAGGGCTTATTAGCTATGCTATTGTTATGACAGTTCCAGTCTCCAACCGTTTCCTTGTATGTTTAGGCATCTTGATTCCTTTTCTGATGTTCAACATGCACCTGTGTCGTAATTAAGTATTTTGAGTCAACCTGGGAAAAATAACACAAAAATATAGTCTTTCATGTACTGATGAGGTTGTTTTTCTCCAGGTTTCCACAATACAACCTTCCAACTTTTAGAATTGATCAGTCAGGCTGCTTGAAAAAGGTCCGAATTGGTGAAGAGATTTGTATGGTCAGGTTGGTTGCAGACTACTTGCTTGTTACAGTTTTACTTATACTTAGGAACTAAGCCTAACTTAGTTGGTGGAGGGCATAGATGTTTTCCCAGACCACCTAAGTTCAAGTCATTGAGGCAAATTTGGGTGCCCATTTCTTCTTCTTAATTCTTAATGAAAAGCCACCAAATTCCTCCTCGGTTGGTCAAGTCTTTTTAGAGTTTTACTTATACTTCAATTTATGGTGGTTGTAGCTAATATGTTTATTCGCTATTTGGAAGAAAGGGTGAAGGTTCCATGGCCAGTTTCAGAGAGAGAGGCTCTTCTACACTATTTTGAATTGGAATATCTTAAAGAAGATGTTGTCATTGTGATAATGAAAACTGTGCGTACATTTTCTTCTGCATTTTTAAGTTCTTTTCTGGGAAACTCTCCCTACAACCTTGATGAATTGTTGCTATATGCCCTAGTTTATTGAGTGCTTATTGACTTGTTTGCAGTTATCAGACTTGGATGGCATAGATGTACGAACTCATGGATTTAGTAGGGATGGAATTCCTGAAGCTGGTGACACGGTTCGAATAGATGTGTTTGGAGGCTTTGTATTGCAAAGGATTACAAAAGAAAGAAGCTTTTTCAGGTGAAGCATATTATAGACCACTGCCTTGGCTATGGAAGGAACCATGCATCTTTAGCTTGAGTATAATTTTACTAGCTTAAGTGAAGTAATAGTAATCAAATGCAATTATTTTGTTTATCAATTTGTTTTTATAAGCCATCTAATTTCACCTTACTGCTTGAACACTATTCACTAAAATTTTCTTTTAGGAATATACTGGTAATGCATTTTTTAAGTATTTCTTTTTTCATTCTAGCATTATTCATTTCTCAGATTTAAAAATATACTGTGTTCATTTTTCTTTAATTAAATCCTTTATCAGGGCAATAGCTAATATGGATATTAAGCTAGATTTTGTTCCACCATGGTTGATCAACTTCATATCAAGGCAACTAATTGGCAGTGGGCATAAGCTGTATCAGAAGGTTAGTGGCTGGTAATATTTTGCACATTTCATGCTATGTTCTCTACATAGATTCCCCTGGACCACAGTGTGTGGTGGGGTGGTAAATCAGGGCATAGGGAAATATTGCATGCTAATTGATGAGCATGACGGCATGAGATTCTAAATAAACACTAATAACCTGCTGAAGCACTTCTATTGGAATGTCATGCAGGCAGTCAGTACTGTGGCCACTCATGATGATGACTACAGGAAAGCTTTGAGAGGCCCACTCTATGTCAGGATCCGTGAATACCAGGATTCTGATGACAAGGCAAAGGTGACCGCAGCAGAGGAAAATGCTACTGAGGTGCCCCCTGCTAATGCCACTATACAAAATCATTTGTCACTAACAAATACCATATCGAATAGTGAGATTGTTGAGGAGGAGACTGAACAGAACACATCCATCAATGTGGATAATCTTCCTACTAGCCATCCGTATGAACCAGTTGAGCAAGCACAACAGGTCGAAAATAAACCTTATATCAGTCCTGAGGTAGAGCGTGCATTGTGCATATTGGACACTGCTATTGCAGTTCTCAAAGGCGATAAGGCTGGAAATGTTACCACGCTACAAAATTTGCTCAGTTATGATGCAACTTTGGAAGAGAGTACTGCTGATTTGAGAACTTCACAAACAAACATTCTTAATGCAGACAATCTTCTGAACGGCCATCCTATTACCACAGTGCCACAAGACTCCAGGTCAGCATGAAAGATTATTGATTTCTTTTGTGGTACATTTACATTTCAGTTAGTGGACCATTTGTGATCCAACCTATGTTGTCCTTGATGCAGAGATACCCAACAAGCACATTCATTGGCCAGTGAGAAAATTAGCAATAGTGCAGAAGACGCCATCGACAAAAGTTCTCTGAAAAATTCGACAGCTTCTACCGTAACAAAGACTATGTCAATGACATTGCGAAGTGCAATAAGGGTGCATGGTGAAGAGAGCCTAGACACTAATGGCTTCCATCAGAATGGTTCCGGCAACAACAAAGAGTCAAAACCGGCAAGGAAGACCAAGAGATGGCTCTGCTGCTTAACCCCTACCACCATTGGATGATGTGACCCATCATAAGACTTCATTCAAAGCTAAGTTGCTGATTTTTTAGTGTACAATAGCAGATAGTAAATTATAGAAATTTAGCGCTTCATCGGTTACACGATGTGGGTTCAGATGACAAGTCAGGAGGCTGCTTCTTGCTGTCGTAGTTCGTAGATAATATCTTGATAAATGTAAAGTTGTATTGTTGTAAACAATATGTAATTCTTTTCATGAGGGCCCTGATTTGGGTCCGGGTATGTAAGTACAGATACTACTATCGACACGCAGGGTAAGATTAGTTCCTTCCAGTTAGAGAAGGAATTGCAGTGACATTCAGTGAACTCTCGGAGATGTGCATCATAATTTTCCAGCCAACATTGTGAGTTTGTGGCATTTGTTGTGGGCAGTAGTCTCTATGGTGATTCGAAAAAAAAAAGTCTCTACAGTACCAAGCCAATGTGTTTGGATGTTGATGTCAGGCAAATTAAGTAAACCTGCAGTTTTTTTAGTAGTAACTAAGACAAAGTTGGCTAGAAAGGCTACTTCAAATGTTTGGTTTGGTAGTTACTGCAATTCTCCAAACAAGTTCATATATGCTACTTTCATATACTCAATACTTATAGCACAATTTGGGTCAACTTTTTATTCTGTTCTAATACCGAAATGGTCATTTTAAGTACTTATACCAGAATGATCTTTAAAATGCAAAATTGACCATCAGTGTACCCTGCAACATCAACAACATTGCGAGTGTCGCTAGCGCGGCGGTGGCTCCGTTGCGACATCAACTCTGAAGCCATTGGGTCTCGTTGTTCCTGGCGAAGGTGAGGGGAGATGCCAGGAATGGTGAGCACATTACTCAATACAACGGTTTCCAAAGAATACTTTGTTCCCAGCGGAGACCACTGCTGATAGAGGCAGGCGAGTGCTTGGCTATAAGTCACAAAGTTATACAATAGGTGTCTCCTATTTGTCTTTAAAAAAATTTCCCTTTCTTATTCCTTCTCACAACACTTGCTACTTGGACTCACTAATGCATATACTTCCATGTCCAGCTTGGTGCTTGCATGAGAGCTAAGCTTTCATCTCTCTTCTCTCCTCCACGTCAGCATTAGCTTCGCTATAAGCCTATTATTGTACTTGCTCTAAGGTGTTCTCTGTGCCTGAATACAATGACGGAGCCAGAATTTTTTTTAGCTGGGGTGAACTCTATACACAAGCTACATCTTAATCAAAAGCACCAAACAGAACAATGCTTAGGGTGAGTACCACACAATCATCAAGCACGCTTACCCAAAAGCAGTGCTTCCTAGTGAAGCTGCTCCTCTCCTCCCTCCATCGCAGGCACGCAACAGAGCTGCCAAAGCAGTAGCAGTTGAGCAGCTCCTGCCTCCTAGAGTCTTGGCTGGCCGGTGGGAGGCGGGCGGGGGCCGCAGAGGGCGGTCGGGGGGGCGAGCTGGCGACGCCGACGGCCAATGTGGAGCGGCGGGAGGCGGCAGGCGATCTGGCGACCGCGCGACGGTCCGCACTCGGCAGTCGGCGCGGAGGTGGAGCCACAGTGGCCGGCGGGCATTTGGGCGGCGGGCAGGGCCTGGCGGGCAGCGATCAGCTCCTCGCGAGCTTGGCTGCAGGTCACGATTGGGGGATTTAGAATTTGGGAACGAATCCACCGGTTAGGGAAGGAGTGTGCTTGTGTGAGATGGTGGGCTTTCAAGGGCCTCTCACGGTCTCACATATGTTGGGCTGAACAAAGTAAATAAAAGACCCATTCTGTGCTCGTTTATCCTCTCACCTCTGCTTTCTTCCACGCTCGAGCGGCGCAGGTCGCTGCATCCTGCTCGTGCTCGCCACCGGTGTTAAGGAAGAAGGGGTCCGGGGGTCTTGGACGAGCTCGCTAGTAGCTGGGGCGGCAGACCCACCCCGCCGCTAGGGTGGCTCCGCCATTGCCTGAATACTTTGTGTAGAATTTGTGGCGGCAACCTTGAAGCGTTCTCTGACGATTCCATCTAACCACGAGGTGTCGAAAGTAAGGGGCTAAAAATTAGCCCATCAAAATGGAATTAACATGGGCTAATTATGGGCTAATGGACTCCAAACCACCAATTAACCACCATTAGCTCTTATTAGCCCAGAATTAGCACTCATTTAGCCTTTCTATTTGGTATTAAAAATATGGGCTAATTGTTAGCCCCTTGGACCCAAACATGCCCTAACACTAATGCAGAATCGCGACCAGACTGACCGATTCTAGTTTTGTGGTACCATAGTTTTCAGAAACTGTCATCTAATAAACGTGCCCTAAGAGGGGGGGAGGCTAACAATGAGCCCTTGTTTTTAGATACCAATTAGAAAGGCTAAATGTGGGCTAATTTTGGGATAATAAATTGGTGGCTAGAGTCCATTAGCTCTTACTGGCCTAAAATTAGCCCATGTTTAATCTACTTTTACAAAGTGAGCTAATTTTTTATTGCCAACTTTTTTTGAGAGCCTATTTATTGCCAACTGCATGGGTGACAGGAATTTATTGTGTCACCACTTCCTCCTGACTTTATTATGTATTGCTTTTATTTTGTTGGCCCAACGATAGGCCCATGATGAAAAACTAGTGAAGGAAAAAGTCTATTCTACCTTTGTTAACTAGTGACGTGGTTTGGTTTTCTTTCTTAAACTTTAACTAGATATCTCACCCCTCAAACTCCTAAAACCATATTCAAGTTACCTCCCAGTCCTAGTTCGAAGATGGTTTCGTCCTTTTTAGTTAAAAAATCTAATAAGTACTTGATAAGGTTTTAAAATCATGGAAAATGTCTATATGATCCTAAAAGTTCTAGATATAGATTGAGATACAAAATCCAAATAAAATATTTGGAGCTCATGAAAATATTTCTAGAGGCTTTACAAATTGATTTAGCTCTAGAAAAATAAGCAAAATGTTAAAAAAATTTAAGGAAGTCCCCAAAACATTATAATTGATTTCTAAATGGGTTTTGAAAACTCTCAATAATAAAAAACATTAAGCACAACCAACACACATGCAATATAATTAAGAAAGTGTTTTTTGAATTTATGACAAAAACATAAAACATTTGTTTCAAAAAACCAAAAACATAAAACACAACCAGTATGAATGCAACATACTTAAGAAAAACATAAGGCACAACCAAATTTTAGAAAAGAAAATTTGGGCCTTTTTTGGTCTCTTGTTTTGCCTATATTTTCATGATGATTTTTCCCAAAAAGATGCATGTTATAACTTCAGAAAGTGGTTTTCAAATTTATGATAAACTATCCCAACTAAATATATTCATCATCATCAGCACTAAACAAAATATGTTTGAGATTAAAAAAATGTTGTAGCATTTACTATAAATAAAAATGTTTTAGCCTAATGGGAAAAATTCAAAAAAATGTTGTAGCATTTACTATAAAATGTCTTAGTCTATTGGGAAAAATTTCTATCTTGACAAGAAAAATATTCATCTTAATGTTTAAAAAAATCAAATTTAAGACTTATGAGAAAATATTTCATCTTACCACGAAAAAACTTCTAGCTTCTAAAAATTGTAGCTTAAGTAATTTTTTTCTAGAAATATATCTATTATGTTGGATAAATGTGAAAGATTGATGTTCCCTCGATAAGATTAAATGGTTGTAGGCTTGTAGCTTCAAGGCATAAGGCCGGGTTTAAAGATGGCAACGGGCACATAATGCCCGCATGCCCGCGGGCATGGAACCCGATGGGCAAGGATACGGGCACCACTTCTTACCCGCGGGCACAGGCGTGGGCACCATCCTGAACCTAGAGGATAGTTCTTCGCGGGCAAAGAAATTTGCTATCCTCGTCCACTTATCCGCCAGACCCGCTCCACATGTCTAACATGTGGGACCTACAAGCAAATATATGTATATATACACGATTTGCTGTGAATCTGTATCTTCCTATCTCTTGTAATTTACTATGGTTTATGTATATGCTCAACCTGGCGGGTACACGGGCATGCCCGCGGATAGAGGGCGCGGACGTGGTTTGTTGCCCGTGGCGGGTCGCGGGCGCGGGCGAGAGATTTAGCTGGCGGGCGCGGGCGTAAGAAGGTAGTATCCGCGGGCACCACGCCCGTTGCCATCTTTAGCCGGGACCTGGGTCAACGTAATCCCAGTCCACAGCTTCCCTAAAGCTAAATGGGCCAACCCCATTAGTAGAAGTCATCAAACATGTACCGGCTTTCCTAAAAAAAAATCAAACATGTACTGGCCACTAGAGTAGAATTGCTTTCCTTCCACGGCAACATGTTTGTTTGTTTCTTTGGAGCAAAATTCATCGTCGGTCCCTGAATTTGGCCGGTGGTGTCATCCAGATCCCTAAACTTCTAAAATGATATATGTGGGTCCCTAAACTTGGTAGACGGTGTCATTCAGGTCTCTAAACTTTTATGATGATCACCACAGGTCCTAGCTAAACTTGGCTGGCGGTGTCATCCCGGTCCCTAAATTTTCAAGGTGATCACCGCAGATCCCTAAACTTGGCAAGCGGTATCATACCTGTCCAAAAGTGGTCAAACCTACTTTATTAACTGGCGTGGCATGCTGACTATACGTTAGACGTGGATCCAACATATGTCAATTAATAAATCATTATTTATATAATATTTATCATGAAAATATAAATTAATAAAATAATTTACATTAGCCAAAAATAAATTAAAGTATTAAAATAATTTACAACAACAAATATATTAGGTTTAAACTAAAATAGAAAAATACTAAAATTAATTTAGTATTTATGTATCATTAATAGTATTAAAATAATATTAAAATTCCTATAGTATTAAAAGTTTTCTTTATTAAAAGTTACTTCTAATTTTAGTATTATTTTAAAAGTTTTAATAATATATTATAAAAGTAACTTTTCTATGTTATTAATACTATAATACTATTACTTTTAATAGTAGTATTATAGTATTAGAACTTTTAATAATAGTATTATAGTATTAAAAGTTTTAATAATAATGTTATAGTAT